CCTCAGCATTGACAGCTCTCGTCCTGCCCTTTGTCCTGCCTCCATCACCTGCCCAGGGCTTTGGGCTGGGCCTTTCCCAGGGAAGGTACAGGCAGTGGTGCCATCAGCATGAGAAACTGCTGGGAAGCCCTAAGACCATGGGGGAGATGGGGGAGTGCTGGGGAGCCCTGAGACCATGGGGAGCAAATGAGGAAGCCCTGAGACTGTGGAGGAAATGGAGGTGCAATGAGGATCCCTGAGACCATGGGGGAAAAAGGGGTGCAGTGAAGAACCCTGAGACCATGGGGGGGGGGGTGAATAAGGGAGCCCTGAGGCCATGGGGGATTTGAGGGTGCAGCAAAGAACCCCAAGATCGTGGGAGGCAAATGAGGGTGTCCTGAAGCCATGGGAGGAAATGGGGGTACAGTGAGGAGAGATGGGGGAGCACTGAGGAGGCTTGGGAACATGGGGGAAAGGGGAGAGCCCTGCCACCATGGGGGAAAGATCCCTAAGACCATGGTGGGACCAGCGAGCCCTGAGCTGCCAGGGGGGCGATGAGGGAGGTGGGAACCACTTTGCTAAGCTGGACTTGGGCAGCTCGTGAGAGAGGAGGTGTGGAAGGAGGCCGGTGGAGGCAGGCCACAGCATGGCAAGGCTGAGAGGCTGGAACAGGATTACAGGAGATCTCCTGCAATCTCAGCTATTGTTTGAAACAAGGACTTGCTGTGTCTGGCTTCTCTTGGGGAGCCCAGACGTGGTCTCCCCAGTGCCCGCAGAGGAGCAGGCTCCCTTCCCCTGGAGATCTGAGCTCCAGCCACCACAGCCCACAGTGTCATTGGGCTCTGTCACCACAACGACACTGTTGATTCCTGTCCAGCCTCTGGTTCGCAGGTCCCCCAGGCCCATTCAGCACGGCTGCTTGCTCGCCCATCCTGACGCGTGGGGTTTCTCCTTCCCAGCTGCAGGACTGTGGTGGGTTGATCTTGGCTGGCTGCCCGGGGCCCACCAAGCCGCTCTGTCACTCCCCCTCCTCAGCTGGATAGGGGGGAGAAAATA